GGGCCACGTGACCCGACGCTCGGCTTGGATTTCACAAGTGGATGCTCTGCAGAGGAGACGGATCCCAGCGGCCGGCAGCGCTCAGATGTGGCGGCCGCCCACCGGCCCGCCCGCCCGCCCACATGCCTCGCTGTTGCTCAACGGAGGCAAATGTGGACCAAGAGCCGATTTCTGCAACTCGCTGCTCACTGAAAACTCCAACGGAGAGGAGGCGGCGAGTTGGAGGGAGTCATGGAGAGTCAGGAGGGAGTCATGGAGAGTCAGGAGGGAGTCATGGAGAGTCAGGAGGGTGGCAGCACCTGGATGCAGCAAAACATCAGAAACATGCAAACAGCACCAGTCGTCTCGTTTTACATCCCAGAGCTCACGGTCACGTTGTTTGGTCTGTGCAGGGGCAACTTTCCAACAAATTATCCAGAATAAATATCACTGGAGGGCTTTTATATCTGTCATAGTCATGTAAAGTCAGATTTTATATCATTTTTCTGGGATTTAAACCCCAAATATGTAAAATCACACAGTAGACTCTTAATATTACCCAATATTTGAACTTTACAGATAATTTTGCAGCAGGCAGGAGGCTGTAGTTTGAACCTGGATGCAGTAAAACATCAGAAACATGCAAACAGCAGAAGCTCCTCTCTGCACATTTTACATCCCAAAGCTCACGTTTACATATTTCCGTCTCTGCAGGTGCAACTTTCCAACAAATTGTCCACATTTTATTTACACTGTATGTTAAAAAAAGTCTTTTATTCCCAGATTCAACATCACTGGAGGACTTTTATGTGCATTATAGTGAAGCAAAGTCACATTTTCTATCATTTTAAACCCTGATATGTAAAGGACTCAGGTTAAATCACACCATCACTGACATGATGGAGTCACAACATCTGGCCTTTAAAGATTGGAAGCAGGCAGCACCTGGATGTAGTAAAACATCAGAAATATGCAACCAGTAGCAGCACATTTAGTAAAAGCAGCACCTATATGTCACCTCACAGAACTCACCTTCATGTTCGGCAGCAGGAGGCGTCGAAGTGTGGCTTCAGGCGGCAACTCTTCTTATTCTTATGTAAAATAAATAAAATCAAAGCTTTGCCACGGGGATCATGCTTAGCTTCACTCCTTGTTTGCCCCTCGCCCCGACCGGTCGAGGCAGACGTCTGGTTGGGCTGGAGGTCGTCCCTCCTGAAGTAACTCAAGCTTCTTTTTTATCTTGTTAACATGTAAAGGATGTTCCTGGAAATACAACATTCACAACTGTTCTGTAGAGACCATTACTCTATTGTATTTAGTACATAAAAGCATCTAAAAGTGATTTTCATACAATAACCAAATAAGTGGCTCAGCTCTACCAAAACCTTCATTCAGCATGACTTCTTTGTGCAGCCAAATTTTCAGAATTTAAAACAAAATCAAGTTTAATAACCTGGTAAACGTCCAAATGGTGTTTTTTTAATACGTAAGATGAGTACAATGAGCAGCCGTGGTCCAGTGTTTCCACCTTAACCGTTCTCAAAAACACAGATTCAGATTTACAAAGTTTCATGAACCCACAGCGCTGGCAGGGTGGAGCTCCAGTTTCAGTTTCAGGTTAAATATGGCTGAATCGCTCCAGTATGACAGCCGTGGTGCAGCGTGGAGGAGTTTTAGAGTGGAGCTGTAGGCGAGCTGGTGTGCTGAGCTGCAGTGAGCGAGCAAAGAAGCACATGCTAAAGGAAGCAAACACGACATTTCCAGGCATAGAAAAAAAAGCACCTTTGACACACAGAGACGAGTTTTTATGGGTTTAATTAGCAGGACTTTAAAGATTACTGAACTAAACTCCGGTTACCAGCATCAGGAAGCTTTGACCTCTGGATGGAGACGCGGCGACCCGACGTCCTCCAGCGACTATCGCAGCCAACCAGCTGATAAGATGCCGTGAAGCCGCTCCAGGACGGACAAACTCCTCGAGAGCCTTCATGTGACTCTCGTCATCACAGAAAGCGTCGGCGGCTGCCAGCTGCTGAGAGTCCAGGCCTTCCAAAGATAGCAGCAGCCTGAGCGAGTGTACGGCGACCACAGAGAGCGGCGGCCTCTGGAAAACTCTATGAAGATCCTCAGCTCGGCGTGTCAAATGACTGGGTGCAGGACCTGATTTTTATATAGCACTTCTATGCAAGTACGGATAATTATGTGTTCCGTGCCCCGCAGACCTCCAGTCTGTCGGAGGAAGTGGAAAAGCAATTATTTGCCTTTGCAATAACTTCAAAACCCCACGAGACACTCAGACAAGATCTGAGGGAGTTTTTATGTTTCAGACGAGCAGCTTTATGTCCCGACAGGTTGCAGCTCACCTTCTATCTGCTGCTGCTGCTGCTTCAGGGTGAAAACGGCAGCAGCTCAACGTAAAACGCTCTCCAGGATTAGTCCGCACATAAATCTTGATTTAGGAGATTCCATGTTCGCCGTCTAACAGCTGCACGTTGACGGCTCCTCAGCGGACGATGCCAAGAGGAACAGATTCTGTAGATAAAGCGGCTGGAAACTGCAGATTAATGCGTTCATGCTCATTAGGTCGGTAATGGATGATGGAGGCGTAGTTGGGTTTCTTTTAACATCTGTTTCCCAACGATTGGTAGCGTTGAACGCTGCGCTGTGTCACTCTGACTCGGACTGTTCCGCTGTTTACACTCACAGCCACGTCTGGCCTGATTTAAACTCTGCTGGATTAGCTTTAGCAGGCGCTGCTCTCTGGAAAGTCACTCCCACCACTTACATGCATTTTAATTTATTGCTTTAGATCAGCTTGAGTTGGAACGACAACATCATCAACATCATCATCATCAACTGCATCAACCTAATGTTGTGTGTCATGTAAACGCACACAGCTGGTTTTCTATTGATCAACAAACATGTGATTTACTTCACTGAAGCATCTTTGTTACACGGGGCTGCAGGTGGCTCGGTGGTTAGCACCGTTGCCTCGCAGCCAGAAGGTCGCCGGTTTGCGTCCTGGTGAGGACACCGGGAATCTTTCTGCGTGGAGTCTCCATGTTCTCCTCGTGCAGCGTGGGTTCTCTCCAGGTTCTCCGGCTTCCTCCCACAAGGTCCAGAAACATGCTGAGGTTAATTGGTGATTCTAAATTGTCCGTAGGTGTGAATGTGAGTGTGCTTGGTTGTCTGTCTCTAAGTGTAGCCCTGTGATAGACTGGTTACCTGTCCAGGTGAACCTGCCTTCACCCTGAGTCACCCCCATGACCCTGGTGAGGATTAAGGTGTAGAGATGATGGATGGATCTTTGTTAAATCTTCCACTGACATAAACAACACCTTTATCCATGTTAAGCTTCTTCGTTATAGCTGGTCGGAGGTCATGAACCTCTACATTAGTCTCTGTCATGGTTCTGCTGCTGCTAAACTCCCACAATGCTCTCTGCTGCCAACAACATCTGAGTGACGCCTCCTCTGGTCTCTACAGGGTTAAACAGTAAGAGGCTCCACCTGGTGGAACAACCAGGTACTGCAGCTGTTCTACAATCCACGTACTGTCATCATGGAGAGAAAACAGGTTTCCTCCGTCTGTTGAAGCTTGTGGTGGATCCTCAGTACATCCTGAACTCTAACACTACATTCAGACAGGGTTCTACTGGAGCTTTACAACAAGGCTCATGACCACCTACAGAACGTTTCAGAGATATTTAGTTGTCAAGCACAGACACTGGATTGATTTTAATACCTCTAATGTACTTGATGTGTGTATTATCAAGGAAAAGGGTTTTTGATTGGACTCTAATTGGATCAGATCAGGGGCTAAAAAAGTGCAACTGCAGATAAAACATTTAGGTTAATTACCAATAATTTTGTTGTTGAATTTACGAACTTCCTAAAAACTAATGTGCAAATAAAAACATGAAAAAGCCAAAACTGCAGAATAATAATAATTCTTTTAAAAAAGTTATTGGAGCAACTTCATTTTTAATATTTACCATCTTGAAAGTGGAACAAAATGTCCTAAAAATAAATAAATAAAATAATTATGTAGAATAGTTGGGATAACTTATCTGGAATTGGTAATCAACTTTAAAAACTTGTGTTCATGCTACATGATCAGAAACAGATTTATTGCCAGGTATAGTTCACACAATATGAGGAATTGGTGATGACGGGTTGGTGCAACAATACAACAATAAACATAGAGTAAAATAAAGGTAACTAAAAATAAAAATAACTGTAATAGTGCAAAGCAGAAGCAAAAAAAAAATGTTGTGGAGTGAAACTTAAAAATAAATAAGAACCATGAAAATGCAGAGGAAACGCTAATTCCCCTTCATTAATTTAGCTTTGTTGATTGGACCGAACTTCATTGGAAATTGTAATAATAACTGAAATTTAAAAAAAAGAAAAAGTGTCATAAACTTTTCTAGATTTACATATCATGTGTCGAAAACAATTAAAAAATAAAAATAAAAAAAAAGATAATTGGACCAAATTTTGTTGTGGAATTTCTGAAAAGCTACAAACTACACAAAAGCACAAAAAAGGAAAAAAGCTGCTGAAGAAAATCTAATTGGAGCAACTTAATTTTTAAAAAAGTTTCCCAACTTTAAAGCTTGTTTTCATAAATCTGGTTCCTACATGCAACATTTCCTTTAAAAAAAAACAACAACAACAAACTACTTGAACCAAGAACATTTTATGAAGAACCAAATTAAAGACTTGGTGCGACCAACCATCATTATTTACCAATACATCTTTTCCTCACCTCAGTTTTTCTAACTCAGTGTGGTTTGTTGGTTAAGCACAATTTGATTACAAGTTTTCTAAACCCAAAGAGGCGGATGCAGTTTGTTGTCGAGCTCCAACCTTCCTGTTCGCAGTTGAGTTCTTCCTGCGGTGAAGCATCTCTTTGCGCCTCTTGGATCCTCCTTTCTGCTGCCAGCTCCGCTAATTGGCCCTGTTCGCCTCTGGAAGCCCCGGTGTGTTCCGGAGAGGATCTCCGCTGGACCCATCCGCTGCTCGGACGCGCGGCTGCGTCACGGCTCCGCCCCGCCGAGGTGATCCCCGGGTTTAAAAGCGCACAAGTTCAGTGCGCGCCGGAGCAGTGCGTCACGGCGACCCAGCAGTGGCAGGATCCCCCAACAGAGCCGGGTTCTCTCAGCGCGAACACCGCGTCCTGGTCCGGCTCGGGCTCTCATTCCGCCTCTTTAAGACTGTTTTGGATACTTTTGTTTAAAAAAAACAAAAAAAAATCGACAGAGAAGCTGCTGTTTGTTTTTTGTGCCTGCTGGCTGCGGTGACAGGACCGTGCGCAACAGCTGGGGAATATACACACTCCGCTATATGGATCAGGAATCATCTGCAGCTGCGCTCACACTTTGATCTCAGACGGTGGACAAAATGAAATCAGCTGAGGAGGGTGAGTTTGGCTCAGTTTGTTGGATTTTTCCAACTTTACGCGCAGGATGTGGCTTTGACTTCTCCCCTGTGTGTGAAGCCTCTGTGCTGCCACAGCACCAGAGCAGCGGTGTGGATGTCTGGCGCGCCCCTCCCTGCTGATTTGGACGGGGTGGGCGTGGTTCTGCTGCCTCTGACTAAAAGTGTGGCCCAAAATAGTCAAAAATGGAACCTAATGGCTGACGGGGCATTGTGGGTAACAGTGTGAGTGCTTCAGTATTGAGTGGAGTCATCTGATGGAGCCTCAGGCTACCTGTTAGGATGGCAGCTAATTTTAGAAAACCAACATGTCAGAGCTACTGTATCACACACCGAGCAGCGTTTTAAATGCGGGCATCATTTTCTTTTATTACAAGGAGTCATATGGAGCTGCACTGATGTCATCGTCTTTATGGCGGGGCCCCTAATTCTCTCTAATTTACAGCAGACAGGAGCTGCTGCGGTGGCTGCATGTGTCTGTCTGCAGCCGCCGTCTGCATCCGCATCAGCCTGCGGTCGCAATTTAAAAAATCATGTCTGGTGGCAACAACAGCGAAAAAACATAAACCAAACTGTTTGCATCCATCGTTTGAGTTCAGACAACTTGTGATGAAATTATGTTCAACCAACAAACTAAACTGAGTTCCAGCAATTAGCTTTTCCTGCTCAAACATATTGACTGGTAGCATAAACAACTTTTCAGGTGGATTATACTCATAAAAATTAGCTTCTTCCAACTAGTTTTTGGAAGGAAAGTTTAGATCTAATGACTAATAATCATCACAAGTTTCTAAATTGACATATGTTAAATAATTAAGTTGCTCCCATTAGATTTTTGTTTTTGTGTGTTTTTGTTCATCTAGTAGCTCGATACTTGAATCTTTAAAAGTTGGCATCACTATTTTTGAGTTCAGACAACTTCTAATGGAATTATGTTCAACCAACAAACTAAACTGATTTGCAGGAATTAGCTTTTCCTTGTCAAACATATTGATTGGTAGCATAAACACAACTTTTTCAGGTGGATTGCTTAGAAGAATTAACTTCTTCCAACTAGTTTTTAGACAACAAACATTAGACTTAATGACTGTAGTTATGAACACAAGTTTCTAAATTGGCGTTTGTGTTTTTGCTCATGAATCTTCAAATGTTTGCATTTGAGTTCAGACAACTTCTGATGGAATTATGTCCAACCGACAAACTAAATTGAGTTCCAGGAATCAGCTTTGTTTCGTTAAACGTATTGACTGGTAGCATAAACACAAGTATTTAAGTTGACTACTCAAAGAAAGTCACTTCTTCCAACTAGTTTTGAGAGTAAATGTTGAACTTAATGACTGTAATTATGAACACAAGTTTCTACATTGACAAACTTTAACAAAATTAAGCTGCTCCAATTAGATTTTCCTCAGCAGTTTTTGGCTTTTGTGTGTTTTTGTTCATGTAGTAGCTTGATGCTTGAATCTTCAAAAATCTGCATCAATATTTTTGAGTTCAGACAACTTCTGGTGAAATTATGTTCAACCAACAAACTAAACTGAGCTCATAGAATCAACCTTTTACCCTTAATGCTTACTGACTGGTACAATCAAGTTGGTCCAGTGTTCCTGAAACACAAACACAATAACACAAATCTAAATTATAGATAAACATGAGAAGTCCTCGCACACTGAGCACAACGTTTCACTTTGTCAAAATCAAAACTGAATTCTACAAAATAATGTCGTTTATTTAGAAATACAAACTGTAAAATGAGTGATTGCTTCAGTATTCGCTGCCTTTGAGCTGCATCTCCTGAATACTTATACATTCACTCATTTGATGTGTTATATTTGTATTTAATTGACATTAATTTGTAGAAATCTGTTCATTTTGACATGAAAGAGTCTTTTTTTGGGGTCAATTCTTGTCCAAAAAAAAAAAAAGCCAAATTAAATTGACTGAATTCAATTTTGAAAAGTTAAAAAAGGGGGAAACTTTCAAGTCGGGTGAATAATGTTTATAAAACACCTGATGCTTACTTTAAGTGTCCTTTGTATTGTACTAAGTAATTCAGAAATTTGACTTGACTTAATGCAATTTTATTAAGTCAAAAAATAATGTTTCCAATTTCAGATTCATCTAAATCAGCTAATTACAGTTGTTCTTCTTGCACTTATGCCTTTAATTAAGCGGTGGGAACAGGTCCCCAGCCTCATGCACCATTTAACCGCCACTTCCATTCCCATGTCCCCCCTTCCTCCGACGTCAGCCGTCACCACAGACGGGGGAGTTTCATGTGACCCAGCGGGGAGCGTTGGCACCGCTCCGTGCTGCCTGGGTACAGCCTGCACCTTTACAGCATGCAAATAAACCAATCACGCCCCTCCTGTGTTTATTTTCGATGGCTGCTGGAACATGAAACTGGCCAACAAAAGCATCGGTGTGTTTTCATAACGGTACAGCTTACGGGCATTAAAGTGGCATAAGTCTGTGCAGCAGAATAAACCGACCTGCGTTCGGTTATTTTTAGATGGCAGTTATTTTTGGCTCCTTTTATTCGTGTTTCCCACCCAATTTGCTTTGTGCACTTATTCAGACATGGTTTGCATTTGGGGATCCCGCTCAGATGAGGCGATACGTTTTAACTCACACGCCTTCTGTCTCAGAAGTTGGTCGAGGCCAAATCCAGTAGGCAGGCTGCTCTTTTGCCATTATAGGCAACGCCTCTGCAGCAGCTCTCACAAGACTTAACTTGGCATCCGTGTCAGTGAGTGAGCCAGTGAATGTGTGTTTGATTATCATGGTAACAAACTCAATCTGTTTGCTTTCCAGACGCGTATGGCTACACGCCAAATGTCAGCCTCTCCCTCCCACTGGGCAACCCTTGTCTTCCCTCCCAGTACCACAGCCTCCAGTCCAGCCCCTCCATATCTGTGTCTGTCAGCGAGCCTCACAGCTACGACTCGCAGGACGACATGAGAGCCGCCGGCTACTACCCGTCCTCGGGCGTCCGGCCGAACGGGGCGCCGACCCTGGAGAGCCCCCGGATCGAGATCACGGCCTACGGTCAGTTTCCTGAGGACGAGGTGGAGGAGAGCAGCCTCCCCGTTGCCAAGCGAGTCAACTCCATCGTGACGCTGACGCTGCCCAGTGCCGATGGTTACCGTGACCCGAGCTGCCTGAGTCCAGCCAGCAGCGTTTCCTCTCGCAGCGGCCTCTCTGACGCCTCCTCCTACGAGTCGAGCTTCTCCTACAACTACGACAACTCGCCCCAGAACTCCCCCTGGCAGTCTCCCTCCGTGTCCCCCAAGGGCTCCACCCTCGCCCTGCCTGGGGATGGCTGCGCCTCGGGGGGCTCGCCTCGCCACTCCCCGTCCACTTCCCCTCGCACCAGCGTTACCGATGACACTTGGATTGGTCAGCGTGGCTCCAGGCCCAACTCCCCTTGCGGCGCGAAGAGGAAGTACAGCTTCAACGGCAGCGGAGCGACCCACAAACACTTCCCGTACTCGCCCAACCACTCGCCCGGACCGTCCCCGCAGACCTCCCCTCGCCTCAGCGTCACAGAAGAGACCTGGCTGCCAAACACCAACCAGTACACCAACTCGGCCATCCTGGCAGCCATCAACGCCCTGACCACAGACGGAGTCACTGACCTCGGGGAGGGAATCCCCATGAAGGCCCGAAAAACCAGCATGGAACACAGCACCACGGTCAGCCTGAAGGTGGAGCCCGGAGGCGAGGAGCTGAGTCCCGGGGAGCTCTGTCAGGATGAACACCCCGCAAACCGCCTTCCCCTGAAGAAGGAGGGCTACTGTGGGGGGTTTCTGGACGTCCCGCAACACCCGTACTCCTGGTCGAAGCCGAAGCAGTATGTCAGGTAAGAAAAGAAACCCGAAAAACTTTCTAAAGCTGCAAATAAATTTAGAATTGCTACAGCATTTTAGGCAACTCACCAAATATATGAGAAATTCGACATTTTAAACAGTTGTCCTCACCAATAGTCAGCAGTGTTATCAATTAATAATCAGTTAATCATTGGACATGAAGGTAAAGCATTTTATATATATATTTAACGCTTAAGTGACTTTCTTAGGTTGACTAGGTTACCATAGGAACTGGGGATGTTATTTATTAATTGCTGATTAAAAATATAATAACTGGTGAGAAAATGTATTGTAGATCAGTTGTAGTACCTGGTTGTTCCACCAGGTGGAGCCTCTTACTGTTTATACTGTGGAGACCAGAAGAGGTGTCGTTTGGACTTCAGGCAGTTCACGTTGGCAGCAGAGAGCATTGTGGGAGTTTGGCTAGCAACAGGCACCACGACAGAGACTTCTGTGGAGTTTAATAGCTTCTGGCTAGAACTCTTCAGCAAACCATGCATTCAGATATACCAAAAACACAGCTTTATAATTGAAGCACCAATTAATCAAATCGTTTTCTTGACAAATGTTCTGGGCAATAACAACTTAAACATCATAATTGTTCCCTGTGTTACATTTGTGCTACTTCTTACTCAACTGATAATACTGAAGACTGTCAATTAGCAAAATAGTTTTAGATTTGTATCCCTGACAGGAGCTTTATTGTAGTTTATCTAAATTTATTTAGATTTATCTTACATACAAGTGGTTCTGTCTGGTGGTCCTTAAGCATCACACAAATCTTTGTCATGGTGCCCGTTGCTAGCAAAACCCCCACAATGCTCTTTGCTTGCCAACTTTGAACTATCCACCATCCGAGCGACCGCCTCCTCAAGTCGCTACAGCATTAAAACTGTAAAAGGCTTTTCCTAGTGGCGAATCCAAGTACTACAGCTAAAATAAATCTTAATAAATACATCATTATCAATCTATAAATGATTGATGTATAACAAAAAAAAAAAAGTCCTGTGCTGATATTGCTGTTTTAGTCAACAACACACACAACTGAGATATAAGAATGCTGTTCAAATCAATCACGGCTTGTTTCAAATAACTCCAGCTGGAGGTCGTTGAGCATCATAGAAGTCTTTGTCATTATGGTCCATTGCTAGCTAATGCTATCTCTCTGCTGGCCAAAATGAAGCTGCCAGTAGTCTGAGTTAGAGGTAAACAGTTAGTGGCTCCACCTGGTGGAACAACCAGGCACTCCGGCTGTTACATACTTTGGCAGTTAATCAATAACACTCCTAATGTACAGAAAATAGACATTAGTGTGATTTTTAACTGCAGAGAAGTGTGTTTCAGTACGTTTACTTTATCAGCTTTATCACCGGGTCTGGCACTGTTCACATTCTGCACATTCTATCCTGATAAGTGCATCTAAAATAAGCCGTCCTCCCTCCTTGTTAAGTTGACGTGTCGGACTTGTGTTTGCCTCGACAGCCCGTCGTTGCCAGCTCTCGACTGGCAGCTGCCGTCCAGCTCGGGTCCGTACAGCCTGCAGATCGAAGTGCAGCCCAAGTCGCACCACCGAGCCCACTATGAGACGGAGGGCAGCCGGGGAGCCGTGAAGGCGCTGGCGGGAGGACACCCGGTCGTCCAGGTCTGCTGAAACTCTGCTTCTTTTGGCTGGCGGCGGCGGCGGCGGCGCTAAACTAACCCACACGAGAGCTGTTATCACTTGCTGCTTACTTGTTTTTGTACGTTGCGTCATTGTGTATTGGAATCGGTGAAACAATCCAGAATTTCACAACAACATAATTTTCACATCCATCACCTCACGACTGCCTCGGAGGCCCGAAACCTCATGTTGAGAACCAGACTGCAGGGTTTCCTGTAATGATCCGGCCGACACATGGTGCAGCCATTAGGCTCATTTTCACTCCTTGCCTCGTCACTTCTCGCCTCAACACTCCCCCTCCACCTCCAGTCTTCTACCTCAAGTGTTAAATAAGATCTGGGCGACATGTGCTTCGTGACCTGGCTGTTATGTTATTTAAGGATGTCACATTTCTGAATGGAATACCATATAGGTATGCTATTAGACAGACCGGTCCACTCAGTCAGTTCCTGTCCAGACAAGGGTGACTCAGACTTTTCCATTGCGTTCTCGAGTGCAGCGCAGACAGTCACAAAGTAATGTAGCATGGCCAGTAAGAGCTTAGTCATGAGCTTTAACCACAGTAGCTCTGGTGGTCGAGTCTAACGAAAAAAAAATGCGGACAACTGCAGATGTTTTGGTTATAAACCCATCTGGTCCCCCAAGCATTACTGCACACCGCTGACCTCACTTTCTGAATAAATAAAGGGTCTGCAGCGAGGAGCTGAGCGGGAAGCAGGGCCGTCAGTTTCATTAAGACCTTCTGACGTTTCACTAATACGTTTGCAATAAATCTACAAGTCAAGCAGACGTTCGGCGCGTACGGAGCCGAGTTCTCTGTGTTTGCCTTTCAGGTTTGATAAAAAATGTCTCGTTGGAGAAAGTAGTTTTCTTCATTTCCACAGAGGAGCGTTGTTCGCTAATCGTACGTTGAAATAGGGAGTTCTGACATCGCTGAGCAGCTATTTTAAAGATGAATCTCAGCGGGGTTTGACTAAACAATGTGTGGAAAAGTTACAGAATTAAAGGTGGAGTACGTGAGTCAAACCCACACACATGCAAACGGTGTCCAGCCACCGAGGAACCCATAAGATCAGCAGAACATCTGAAGCATCTATAACAACACGCATTCAATATTAACACTTCATAAAATAAGTCAACAAAAGCTTCGTTGTTGCTGTAAATAGTGACGGCTGGAATTGTTTTAGTGGAACATTTGTGATAGGTTGCTAGCGTACAGATGTTGGTTCCTGAAGGGAAGTGGATTTTGAAAATAGAACCAGAGGAGAAAGCCAGCTGACAACGGCAGACTTATACCCACATCAGACCCTTGGTTTATTCGGTCAGTTTGTCTGAAACACATGCGCTCTGGCTAGAGGTCATTAAGCGTCCCAAAAGTCTTCGTCATGGTGCCCGTTGCTCGCTAAACCCCATCAGTGCCCTCTGCTGGACAACATGGAACTGCCCACAGTCCGAGTGACGCCTCCTCTGATCGCTACAGTATGAAAGTGAACAACAAGCAATGCTCAACGGTCGTACCGGCAAAACACCCGGAATAACCACATTGTACTGGTCTGTGTTGGAGACATCGATGTGGCAGCATCTGGCGTGTAGCTGTGATGCAAAGGAATTTTTTTGAAACCAAAACTGCACCCGAGGAATAAACATGAGCGAGTCAGCAGCAGATGATGAAGTCTGACCCGACAAATGTGGTGAAAAGCTGAATTTATGCTTCATCACAAAACAATCTGCAGATTCACTGTAGCAGCAACACAGATGTTGATCACATTTAAAAAAAATAATCAGCATGATTTCATGTACGTGTTTGTTTAAAAGGGGGGAAAATGTACTTAATTAGTACATTTAAGATTCAGGTTCGTTAGCTGATAGTAATCCAGAGCTTGTTCACAGGTCTGGTTCTGCAAATAGGAATCAAATTAAGAGCCTTAGACCAATCCACACAATGCTATTACAGCGAGGACAGAGGAAAGAGAGAAATGAAGGAAACAGGAATAAAAAAGGGGCCAAGAGGGACGCCAAATGCTAACGAGCTAAATACACTAGCTAGCTAAGTATTCCCACTTTTAGCTTCTAGTGCCGACTGATGCTGCGTTTAAGAGGCCGATATTAATATTTGAGAGCTAAAAAGCAGATAATTATAAATTGTTCAAGTTAACGATATTTGTTTCGTATCGCAACAATAAACATTTTTGACAAAGACGCCTTAAATATGGTAATTTAGGAGTTGCAACCAATATACAATGCAATGTACCGTATAAAGCACTTAGCGACACATTTTTAGCCATAATATCATAATAAATATGAACTTGTCAGCGCCCTCTGGTGGGCGAGGTCTGTAATGACACTATAACTGCACATCTGTCAGCTGGTTTAATGCTAGTTATCGAGCGGCATGTTCATTATGATATATGTACCGATAACTTTGGCTCTAACACTCATGAAAGTCCATTTAAAGCCTGCAACAGTCGATTTTTGAGTGTGCTGTGGATGAACAGCTGGGAGTAAAAGTCTAATAAACGAAGAATGGTGACGAAAAGCTTCACGGGAAGCCAAAAGTAACTATAAAATGTGAAGATAAACATTAAAATTTCCCCTGTTTAAGTTTAATTTAGCAGTTTGGCAAGCTTAACGGCTAGTAAAATATAATTAAATACAGTGATTTGATGTATACTGACAGCAAAAACTGTTTATTCTTAGCAGTTAGTCTACATTACATACTGTGAGCTACTAGTATGTAGAGCTGTCACCGACTATTACGATATCGAATAATCAGTTTAGGAAGATTTCAAAGGAAAAAAGTATGAATTTTTTGGGATCTTAAATGTGAATATTTTCAGTTTTCTTTGCTTGTTTATGAGACTAAGCTGAATACACGTCATTTTGAGCTTTGAGGTCGGCATTCTTCGCTGCTTTATCGAGAAAACAAGCGACAAATCGAAGAAAATAATCATTAGCTGTAAACCTCGTTCTTGTGCAACGTTGCTCCTTTTCCCAGAATGACCTCGCTCAAAGGTTAAACTTAATAAGCGTTTGGATGGAAGTCTTGTTGTTCAGACCAGAGTGGAATAAGGAAACTGAAATATTAAACTTGTAAGCAGCAGTGGAATAAAAAAAAAAAAAGATCTGGAAACCGAGAAACATGCTGTACCATCCAGCGTGTCGCAACTCCGGCCGCACATCTGCGCCGGGCTCGTGTGTTTGGGTCCACGAGAAGGTGCTAATGATTTAATGACGGGGGTCTGGGTTCACCTCGGCTGAAATAGAGAGTGTGTGTTCTCTTTAAACCCAAACCCAAACCTCCCCCCTGCTCCCGCTGCCAGCTACCAAACCCAACCACACAGACTTCCCTTTGTTTAGGAAAGTTCCTGTGTGCGCGGCTGACATCATCGCAGCGCTGCGTCTTGCGGAGGCGGCGGCAGCTAGAAAACCACACACGTTTCTGGCAGGCCGGCGGCGGCGGAGATGTTGGAGGGCGACTCAGACCAGGCAGCTCCGGCCCTGATTGCAGCCGTCGGACGCTGGCTGACGAAGCCTCGGCGTCCTCCTCTGACTCAAACTCTGCCCACAGTTTGTTCTGGAAGCTCCTCTCCTGTGCGCCTTTTCTTTTTTTTTTTCTTCTTCTGCACGTCCAAGCATCGGCACAGTTAAGCCGGCTGTTTTCTGTTCTTTTTCAATGCCATCGCTGCTGCCTGCCTCAACCACACCCGTCTGTACGCCAGCAGCGGACTGAGCAACTCGTCCTCTGAAGTGCTTCACCGCAGCTAATGCTCGGGGCTTCATGCTGTACTTTGGCAGAGGGGAAGTTCTCCCTGTTCAAGTCCTTCTTTTTTCACCACGTCTGAAGTCGGCTTTCAGCTTTAAAAACACGTCCAACGAGCTGCGTTGAAGTGCATTTGAATTAGGGATGTCCCGATTCAACTAAGGCATTTCATAACTGATCAGTAGCTGCACGAACCTAAACCGAAACCAAGGGAGAACACAGTTAGTGGAAGGACAGCAGGGATGCAAATTTTGAATAATCCTTTAAATAAATGCAGCGTTATCAATCTATACTTGATTTATTGGGGTTTGGTGGCATTTCCACTGATTTCTGACGACTATTTTATCATGTTAAGGCGTATTTTTTTACAAAATTTATCTTTTCTACATGTGTAGCTTGTTGAAATGACAACAGGCACAAGACGAATCCATGAGTTATGGCGCAAAAATACTAAAATAAATATGATAATAAGTCGTATTATGTGTTTAACGAAAGCAGACCGATGTATTGCAACACAAACAAAGAAAAAAAATGTAGTTTTTACTTACTAATTTGGAAAATGCTCTCAGTATAATGTGAAGTTATCACAAAAATGCTGGTAGGTTCACTAGCTTCATGCTACATAGTTAGCATGTGCTAAACTAGCTAACGAGTTTCTTTTGTAAACATGCATTTACACAGTTTGACTGCCGACGCTGTCAAGCAGGTGAATACGATGTTAGCTAATCGTAGCACACAGTCCAGTCTCTCTGTTATCTATTGGAAAAGATCAAATTTGTCAGCGTGCAATTTTGCTGAAACTTCGAAGGTTCTCATTGGAATTTATAGAAGTTCTGGTTAGTTTGTATAAGATTGTTTTCAGCATTTGTGCCGCATCGTCAGCTCCATTATATGTGATATATGCTGCTGGGATAAAGAAACACTGACTTTGTTTATCCGAGTTTAACTCAAACGCTGGTTGGAGGTCATTAACCGCCACAGAAGTCTTTGTGATGGTGCCCGTTGCTCGCTAAATTCCCACCTCCTCAGTGTAGGGCTCCACCTGCTGGAACAAGCAGGTACTACAGCTGGTCTACAACACATTTTTTTGACACTTGAAGTAGAGAATCCAGGTTTTCTCCATCTGTTGGAGCTCTGACTGGTTCCTGAAGTGTGTATTTTCTAGGAAAATGGCTTTGAATCGAATCGGGGCATACAAACCTCCCAATTTAACGGTTGTTCT